CTTGGGAAAGAGAGAGGGGGGGGGAGATTCCAGAGCACCGCAGGCCAGGGCCCCTCTGACAAAAAGGAGGGGTGGGAGAGGGCTTCCGGCAGGGGAAGTCCCGAGGGGGAGGGGTAGCTAAACCCTTAGCTAAGCCACCCCCCCTGCTTTGGAAAGGGGGGGGGGTGCTTCTGGAGCGCGAAGGGGGGGGGGGAGGGGGGGGGGGGGCTTCCGAAGGACGGGGAAAAAGGAGGGGGGTCTGGCAAGGGAGGTCCAAGGAGGGGGGGTAGCTAACGGGGCACCCCCCCCCTTTTGGACTGGTGGAGGCTGTCGGACTCCTCCTTCGCCCCGCTTTAGTGTTCCTTTCTGTCTAATGCGAGGTTGTGGTTGTTCTCCTTGAGGGCGTTGATCAGGAGGAAAAGAAACACACAGCCACAATCAATCGTCGACTCCCCAGGAAAATATGGGAAAATATGGGCAGCGGGTGGGAAGACAAACACTTTGAAAATATGGAAAAATATTGGGAATCTTGTTACTTGTGTGTATTTATTTAATCGCTTCGCTCATTCCGCCGGCCCTGGAGCGCTATTTGGGGCCTCTTGGGGCCGTCTTGGGGGCTTCTTGGGGGCTTCTTGGGAGCGTCTTGGGGCTCCTTGGCGGCGTATTGGGCTCCCCTGGGGCCTCTTGGGGGGCTCTTGGGGGCTCCTTGGGGCGGGAGGGGGGGTAGTCGTTGGCAGCCCCCCCCTCGGAGGCCACGATCCTCGAGAGGGGTGGCGAAAAATAGCCTCCCCCCTGGGGATCGCCCGGGGATCAGCGGGGGATCGGCCGGGGTACTTTTCGTCCGGGGCCCCCCAGGGGCCGCCCCGCGCGCGCGAACTAGAAATATTGTTAAGTAGTTACCGGAGATCTCAGCACGCCTCTGGCCCGTTGGGCCGGCGAATTTGTGTGTTGCAGGGCCCCTTTAATTGAGCATTGCTCCGACATTGGCCCTCGCTGGTCTCCCCGGCCTTGGTCTGCCTTCTTGGAACCTGCGTGAGGTTCCTTTGGGTGCGTTTTTTCTTTGTGGGACGTCTGCCTCGTCGTGTGCAGCACCAACCTCGTTGTATGCGTCTTTCCGTGCGAGCTGATGCCCTTGTGGATGATGTGGAGCTTGTTGAGTTTCCCCTCTAGTGTGACCAGGTATGCCTCCACTTCTGTGTGTTGTGCCTTGGTATACTCGTAGTGGGCATCCATGGTCTGCTTGTTTCGGTCGATCTCTCTGGCCTGTTGGGGAAATGGCATTTTGTTGATGATCGTCGCCTTGATGAAGGCGATCCGTGTGTTTGTGTCTGTTGTAGGTAGGCCAGCGGCGCTTGCCTTCATGATCGCACTCTTATTTGAGTTTTGGATCATTGGGTGGTGATTCCTAGTCGTGCCTAATGGTAGCGTAGACCTTGCGCATGGGCATGGCGTTGATGATGATTTTCAGGTGGTCGTTGTAGTTCTTTTTGGAGTCCCTCTGCTTCTTCTTGGCTGTGGTGTCATCCTCTTACGTGGGTTCGTGTTTGCCCTTGCCCTTCTTCTCCTTGATCTTGTCCTTCTGCGGCTGGTTGGTGTCCTCGATATGGTCGTCGCACGGTTTGGGGAAGCTACCCTTGCCCTTGCCGTCGGTGCCCTTGATGCTTTTGCTGCTGCCACTGTTTCAGTAGGTGTCGGGCTGCTTGGCTGCCCATTGTGCGGCTCATTCCTCTTGCCTCCACCGTTCGAGGCCAGCGCCGATCGCGGGTTCAGCTGGGCGCGTTGGTGTTCCCTTGCTTGGTGTGCGGCTCGAGGTTGGTCTCCATGGCGGTGATGTACTCGATGGCGTGCTCGCGGTTGATCCCCGTGATGCTGCGATTGAGAGTTTGGTGTGGATGTCGCAGTGGTTGTTGCGCACAGCAAAGTGCTTGAAGTGTATTTCCGGATTCGTGAAGCCGTGGTAGAATGTGGGCATCACCACGTTGCCGCCGAAGTCGCATGTGCCAGGCGGGGCAGCGTGATCTGGATGTCGATGTTGGCGTGGCCCCGAGCAGGGGACGGGAACAGCAGTGCTTGTTGTGGATGTTACGGTGAAAATCAAGGCCTGATGGGCCTGTGAAGGTCGCGTTGGCCGCCGCGCGGTTCTGAGATCCCGGGAGAGAGACAGCGCCAAGTCGTTGCTGCCCGCGGCCACCCGCCTCTGCTACGACCAGGTACGTGCTGCCTTATCGAGCAAGCGTTTCTCACCGCTCCAGAAGATTTGCATCAAAGCCTTGTAGTGCGATGCCGTGTGGGCGAAGGAGGTTGCAGTTAAGCGTGGGTATCAGTTTGAGGATGTCACTTGCAGCCTATGCGAAGACGGCCAGGACTCACTGGAGCATCGGCTGTATTTCTGTTCGGCTTGCTCTCTGGAGCGCAAGGAAGTTCTCGAGCGTCTAAGGATAAACGGCCCGACGTGTCCACGGTGGTTTTCCAGGGGCCAGAGACCAAACTATGATTTCTGAGGGGTTTGTTCGGGCACCCAGGAGATGTATGTCCTCGTCCTTCGAACGCTGGTGTTTTTTTTGTGGAATGGCCAGGGAGAGACAATCAGGGCCCCATTGGGTTGGGGGTCCAGTTTGATTTGTTCTTCGATTGATGTTGTTATAAGCCTGTGGTTCCCGTGCTGCCCAGGGGAGGTTGGGGGTTCGTTGTTCTTCCTCCACGCGGACCTTCCGCAATTCATTACCACAAGTGCACAAGTGCACAGTTGTGCAACAGTGCCACGGGTGGGGAGCAGGCCTTCCTCAAAAGGGCGATCGCGCCAGACGCCTCGATAAACGGCGTGATCGTTGTGTCTCGCGTTTCTGATTACGCGTCCCATAGATGCTCCGGATTTGCTTCGGGCAACGGGGCTTGATTAGTAGTGGGGCCTCGGAGCCCCTAAGTTGGCCTGAGTCGCTAAACCAGGTGTGCCGCATCTGGTTTTTACCTAACAGCTCTTGCTGATAGGTTTCTAGTGGTCTCAAAAGAGAGCATCATGACTCCTCAGGGGGGTCTGGGCGGGACCCGGAAAGGCTGCCGCCGAAGCCGAAATCGCTTGGGACATCCTCGCAAAATCGCTCTTGGTGCTCCCAGAACTCCATTCCCGGGTCACATTTTGGATGCCCGGAGCCAACTGTAGGCCACTTCGTGCTCTTCGACTTCCCAGAATTCCATTCTTTTGCATGATTTTGAATGCCCGGAGCCAACTGTAGGCCACTTCGTGTTCTTCGAGTTTCCTGGGCCACATTTTGGATGCCCGGAGCCAACTGTAGGCCACTTCGTGCTCTTCAAGTTCCCAGAACTCCTATCCTGGGCATGATTTTGAATGCCCGGAGCCAACTGTAGGCCACTTCGTGTTCTTCTAGTTCCCAGAACTCCATTCCTGGGCATGATTTTGAATGCTGAGGCAGGCTGATGCTGCGGCCGAGGCAGGCTGAGGCTGAGGCAGGCTGAGGCTGAGGCTGAGGCTGAGGCTGAGGCTGAGGCTGAAGCAGGCTGGCTGAGGCAGGCTGAGGCTGAGGCTGATGCAGGCTGAGGCTGCAGGCTGAGGCTGAGGCTGAGGCTGAGGCTGAAGCAGGCTGAGGCTGAGGCTGAGGCTGAAGGCTGAGGCTGAGGCTGAGGCAGGCTGAGGCTGAGGCTGAGGCAGGCTGAGGCTGAGGCTGTGACTGCGACTGCCGTTGCCGCTGCGACTGTCATCGCGAATGCGACTACGACTGCGAGAACAGCAGAATTCTACAACTGGATTTTCATCTGAATCTTAAGGGGAATGCTTTCAGATATGCTTCTACACATCGCTGTTAGGTTGCTTTGCCGGGATAATTTTTCGGGTGACGGCAGTTCCGGTTAGTGGAATGGGGCGGGGGGGCGTCCCCCACTACACATCACTGAGCCAGGTCCCACTAAACCCAGTCCTGCCAGCGCCCGAATGTTCTCGCGTGGCGGAGGAAGAAAAAAAACGGCGGCCGAAGGTTTTTTGAATTTTTGGCCTCGGGGGGCCCTGGCGGGGCCCTGGGCACGTGCTCCTCCCTCTCTCCCTCCCTCCCTCCCTCCCTCCCTCCGTCCTTTTCCTCCTCCTCTTCCTCCTCCTCCTCCTCCTCCTCCTCCTCCTCCTCCTCCTCCTCCTCCTCCTCATCATCAGGGCATGGGTTGAGACATCCAGGGGTCAACGTATTGAAAACATCGAGGTTTCGCAGGTCTAGCTTGGGGGAGGGGGCAAGGGCAGGACAAGCGGCTCGACATCGAGCTTCAGGCAGCGGGATAGAGTTCATCGAGGATCAAGTGGGGGTTCGAGAAACGGGGATCGAAGTTTGGCGTCCGAGGTTCTGGGTTCAGGAGTCGAAGGTCGGAATCTGCGGATGGATGATCAGGGTTCCATGGGGGAAAACAGGATCGAGGTGGACGAAAGGGGGAAAGGTACGAAACCTGATGCACGTGGCTTGTTTCGGTTTCTTGCTCGACACACACGGCCGCCTGTTGCATCAACTCTGCGCAGATGGTTCCCGAATCCCCCGTTGGCTACCCCGCTCTGTCGCCCGCCCCGGCAGCAGAGGCCAGAGGCAAGGGGAGAGGGAGGATGGGGGAACGGCTCGAGAAACTTTGTCGGGCTCGAAGACCACAGTTTTTCCGATGTTGTTGTTTTCTCTGGGCCTCCTGGGGCCTTCGGGGGCCTCGTCTTGGGCACCCCGGTAGGCTCTGGAGGTGGCGCACGGGGCACTGAGGAGACTTCCAGATACTCAGCGAGCGAAGAACGGTATAAAATAAACATTTTCGCTGTCGGGGGCGCCTGTCCCTGGGCGGCTGGAAAGTTTATACCCCTACGGTGCCACCGTAAGGGTATAAACTTTCCAGCCGCCCTGGGACAGGCGCCCCCGACAGCGAAAAAGTTGATGTTATACCGTTCTTCGCCCGTTAAGATACCTCCAGCCAGATCCTCGCTGTTGGCACGGGGAGGACTGACGAGGGGACAGGGGGAGGAAACAGGGGAATCAGGAGGGGGGCAGGCTGACCTACGCCCAGACGCCGCCTCCTACACCAGCATCATCAGCGGCTGCGCGCTGCGCGGCGACGCGGAGGAATTCATTATCCTTTATCACTGCTCATCTTTCCGCACCCACACGCTCTCATGCTCAATGCTGGTAGCTGCCGTCCTGCTCATATTGTTCCTGCTCCTCCCGCCCCAGTTCCTGCTCATCACGATCCTCATGCTTCTCCTTTTTCCTCACGCCCATCGTGCTCGGACGAAAGACGGGGGAGAGATGGAAAGATGGAGGGCATGAGCGAGGAGGCGCGCTAGCTTGGGAAGCGGAGGAAAAGCCGAGGATGAGGAAGAGGAAACGGAGGAACAGAAGAGGAGGAGGAAGAGGAATAAGAGGAGGACCGATCGAACCAACACCCCAAACCATGGCGCCGACGCCAACGCAGCACAAAGTTACAGCAGAAGCGAACCGCATGCAGTAGGACATCGGCGACCTCGTCAACCTGATCGCCGACACACCAGGGTGCATCCCGCCGGCACAGCACAATGACTCAACACCCAAAGATCCGCCACGCCACTTCCACCCAGCCGACCCATGTTCAACGGCTCACTCCAATGTAACTGGAAAATGCCCACCAAATCTGGCACACCTCAAGGCTTGACCGCCTTTTGACCAGCGTTGGCAGGCGGTCCACGCCACCGCCACGCTACGATAATAGTGGCACCCCGACCACCTTAACTGGCAGACGACGGGATGGTCGGCCCAATACATAGCAGTTGCTCAACCCATACCGATTGCCCAGCAGGTTTCCGCTAAGCTTGCTGCCGGGCCGATCTCACCCACGCGCGAGGGAAACCCCGACGTGCCATACAAACCATTTCCACCCAAGAAGACGGCCAGGCCAGCAACCAAAGCAGCCATGTCCACCGTGCCCCGACGGGCCCAGACACCCGTCGAGGAGGCACCCCAGGGTGTGCGGGTCGAGGCTTCTGCGTCCGGCATCCAGCACGACGCAATCGGCAGGCTCGCCGACGCCATCAGCACCATCCACCACGACCCATGCACGCCGCACTACAACATGCAAGCCCACAGAAACCCAGAAGCACTTTCCGACTGGGAGAAGGACACACCGTATTGACAGAGTGGACCACGATCAAATTTCGCACGACCTGCATGATTCCATGAGCAAAGGTCGCCGCGTCGCCCCGCTCAACATGGACTGCAATCAGGCGGTGCAAGCTGTGCAGCATGCAGGCATGCCCAGTAACTGATGGCCGCGCCGACAAAGCGCGACGTGAACGCGACGAGATATACAGCTACATCAAGTTTGCCTTGTGGTACAAGCCGACGGGCGCATCACCGGGCGCATCGCCAAGGGCATGATCCACTGGATGAACGCGCTGCCCCAGCTCAACAGCGACGCCGCCATTGCAGGGGAACTGACTGACCATCAACCTGTGTTTAACCCCCCGTCCGTCTTGACCTTTCCCCTCGCTGCCATTGCTCGTCCCCTCATGTTGCTGCGTTTGCCTGGAGCATGGGGCGACGAGCCCTGGCCCAAGTAGTCCAGGGAAGTGCTGCGCATGGCTCCGCGTCATTGAGGATGCCACAGCGAAATAAGAACCCCCCGGATAGTGGCGAGTTCGACGCTCGATCTGACCATAGCCAAAGCACGCAGCAGCACCCCAATACATGAGGACCTCAGGAGGAGAGTCAACGCGCGGCAGGAAGAAACCGATGCTCGCGGCTTGCTCGTCAAATGATATATGACCCTGGATTGGTGCGAGCCGGTGAATGTCGGCGGATGCCTCTCTGACTTTGCCCGCCTCCTATGCCGCGGGAGCGCGCGACAACAATTTCGGCGACTTCGCAGAGGATTGGGGCTGCGCCCTCCTGGTGATGAAAGTTTCCCCTGAGTCGTCCACCTTTGAATCCCCGCTCAGACAGCGGAAAGAGAGAACGGCATCGCGACATCGAGTGCGATCTGGGGGCATGCCACAGGAAGGATAGAAAGTGGCGACCCAGGGCAAAACAAGAGGCGCGCGAAACTCGGGATTGCCAGCGGCAGCGCCCAGAAGAAATATGGTTGGGCCGATATTACAAGTCGGGCGCTCGCAGTTTCCGGGAAGAGTTCGCCTCGGCCGGCAAATCATCCAATCCGCGACGCGACGAGATGAACTTTTCGATGCGCCGGCACAACACGGGCGGGCGTCGCATCGACGGGGATAAGTGCGCCCGTGCGCGCGCGGACAGCCGGCGGCGCAAGGCCGCAAAAGCTTCGCAGAGGGTGGGCCCAGAGCGCTCGCCCTCAAGAGGCCGCGCCGGCCCCGATGACGAAGCGCCCAATAGTGCGCCTCGGCCCCGAAACGCAGAGAGAGAGAGAGAGAGAGCACCCTGCAGACCCGAGGCAAGGCGCGCGGGGAGACGCCTGCCCGCGAGCGTCGAGCAAGCCCCCCATGGAGGGCGCCGCCGCCGAAGCCGGCCCGCGGTCGCGAACGGTCGGTTTCAAACGACTCAGGGCGAGGACGCTCGAGTGTGCCCGCGGTGGCGCGCGATCTCTCGCGGCCGGGGCAGCCGCCTCCGAGGCCGCCGCTAGCCCTCCCGCGCCGTGCCCTTCCAGGGGGGGAAGCAGGCGCGCGCGTTTTGGCGATGGAGCGGCCCGGCGCCGAGCGCGCGACCGCGTCGTTTCCGCGCGCGGGGGAAGCCAGGCGCTGGGCGCCCGCCGAGGTCTTTCCCCGCCCCATCGGGGAGACCCGACGCTGGGCGCTCATGGAGGTCTGTCTCCGCGGCGCCGGGGGAACCCGACGCCAAGGCGATTTCGTCGGGGGGGCCCGCCGCCGCGACACGTCAGTCCGCCGCGACGCGCCGCGACGTTCATACCGCGCTGCGCCTGCGGCAGCACCTGGCGCCGGCATGGCGCTGCAAGGTTCCGTTGGAGTTAGCGCCTGGGCCGGCGGCGCTGTTAAATGTGAGGTATTGAGATGGGACTCTTGGTCAGTCTCATCAGCTTTGCATGTATAGCACAGCGACGACCATATGCGTGGGCTTGGCTGCGCAGCCCTTCGCGATATATTTGAGGAGGCATCGAGTCGGCGGGCGCACGGCCTGCAATTGCACCCGAATGGTGATCGAGATTTCAGCAACCACGCCAGGTCTCCCCCGAGCCCGCGGCCCAGCGCGTGTCACAATTGCAACTGGAGAGGAATGCGCGGCCCTAAGACCTCCCAGAAAATAGAGCACGGAGGCTGAGAGACGGCATGTTGCATTTGGCCGATCAGACGCTCCGAGGCTGGTTCTGCACATTTCGAGCTCCTTGGCTTCGCCCTTGAGCTTCTTCTCTTGGTGTCGCTCGTTTCCTCTGTGGCCTCTTTGTCGTCCCATTCTGTCGTTTCTGGCCGCTCTTCCGTGCAGGGCTGGATCTGCCTTGCAAAGTTACGTTTGTTTTTCCTTGCTTTTGGGCCATGGCTTTCGTCGCGTTCCGCGCCACGCTTGCCCCGTTCTACCTCTCCGCGCGCTCCAGAAAATTGATTTCCCACTTGTGGGCAACTTCCGCGGACGTTGAACTTCCGCGCCCCCAACACGTTTCCCATTGCCTTTCTCGCGCAGATCACGGGGGGGAGCCTTTGACAGGAGCCGCGCGACCGCCGCGCCATCGGGCGGGGCGCGCCCCGCTGCCCACCCCCCCCTTCCCTGGACAGGTTGAGCCCGTTTTCGTTTTGGGGCCCTTCGTGTTTTTCCTTCCTCTTTTATCGGGCGGGGCCCTGGGGCGAATTGAATCGGGAGCCTCCTGTCTAGGGTTTTTGGGCGGGGCGTGTGTTTTACCCGTCGTTCTCGGCGCGCGTTTGTTCTTCGCCGTGACCCCGCCTGGGTTTTGGGAGGTCGCGGGCCCGTTTTGGCCCTTCCACTCTCCGCCCTTCGTCGCCCCCCCTCCCGCCGCTGACGCTGCCCGCTCCGCTCATGGCCAGTATCCAGATTCAGGGCAAGGTATTTGGCAAGGAATCTTCAATCACGCCACCTTCACAGATCAGGGCCATCCTTCCTCTACCATCGGTCTTGCAAGTTCGCGACTGTCTCCTCGCGGCCGCCCTCGCACCTATGATTGACAGGGCTTGCCCCCCACCGTGCGGGCACGTTCGTGGGAGCCCAACGCCCGCGCCCGCGAGGCAAGTAACCTTGGCGTTGGCCAGGGCGGCCGCGGCCAGGAGCACCCCACGCAAACGACCCCTCGTCACTGTTGCAGCAGAGGGAGGATCCTCTGTTGCAGCAGTGACGAGGGTGGCCGCCGCGTGGGTGGCTCAAACCTCCCCCCGCCTGTGGACCCTTCCCGACCCCGCAGTCCCTCCCTGGGAGCCCTACGACCACCTCGGCGGGCGATGGCCTCCCCGGTGGGACTGGGGGTCGGGGCGGTGGGAGGGCCTCCTCCTCCTCCTCCTCCTCCTCCTCCTCCTCCTCCTCCTCCTCCTCCTCCTCCTCGTACCCTTCCTCCTCCTCCTCCTCCTCCTCCTCCTCCTCCTCCTCCTCCTCCTCGTACCCTCCTCCTCTCCTCCTCCTCCTCCTCCTCCTTCCTCCCTCCTCCTCCTCCTCCTCCTCCTCCTCCTCCTCCTCCTCGGGTCCCCAGGGCGGGGGAGAGGAGGCCCCTCGGCCCCCCCCCCCCCGGGCGAGTGTGGCCTCACCGGCCACCGCACGCCACCGTCAGGGTGGCCCGGCCGCGCGTCCGCGGCGCCATTGCCACAGGCGCCAGGGCCACGCTGCCCTCCTCATCTCCACCCCCTGAGGTTTATGAGATCAGATGCCGTCCTCCTCCTCCTCCCCCTCCTCCTCGTCCTCCTCCCCCTCCTCCTCCTCCTCCTCCTCCTCCTCCTCCTCCTGCTCCTCCTCCTCCTGCTCCTCCTCTTCGATCCCCCCTCCCCAGGCGCTGGGGGACCTAGCTACCCCGCCCCTGGTGGGGCCTGACGGTCCGCTTCTTACTTACCACATGCAGACAAAGTTTGATCGCCCCCTTCCAAGGTGCAAAAAGCCCCTGGGCGGGGGGAGGGCAGCTCCCGAACGGATCGAGCGCCACCAAGTACGAGCTACAAGGAGGAGGAGGCGGAGGAAAAGGAGAAGGAGGAGGAGGAACGTGCGCAGGTGGGAGGAGGAGGAGGAATTTGGGCAGGTGGGAGGAGCAGGAGGAGGAGGAGGAGGAGGAGGAGGAGGAGGAGGAGGAGGAGGAGGAGGGAGGAGGGAGGAGGGAGGAGGGAGGAGGGAGGAGAAGGAGAAGGATTCTAGACGCTTCGCGTATCCCCACCAGCCCGTCCAGAAACGGCGCCCAGGCGAGTATAGGGTCGTCCTGAGGGGCTTTTCGGCGTCTTGGGTGCCTCGGGGGGGCCTCTGTGGGCCGTTCGGGATCCTGTTTGGGGCCTCCTGGGGGCCTCTTGGGGCCTCTTGGGGCCATCTTGGGGCCTTTGGGGGCCTCCTGGGCGCTTCTTGGGGCCATCTTTGCCCCCTCAGGAGGCCAAAATGGGGCCACAATCTCAGTAGAATCAATGATTTTGGCTTCCTCGCCGAGGCCGTTTTGGACGCTCTGACCGCTCCCCGCCCCTCCTGTCCAGGTCAGTGGGGAGGGGGTAGGGGGAGGGGTAAACCCTTCCCCGAAGGGGAAGAGGGAGGGGTGGAAGAGGAAACGCCCTAAACCACCGACGCCCAGAGGGCTGGTGGGAATCCGTTGTTATAGCTTGCTTCTCAGTGTAGCAAGTATTTTCGCGGCGCCGAGCGCACTGTATGCTCGGCACGCCATGTGCTCAAGCTACGCTGGGCGCGCGAGAGTTTGTTGCTGCGTTTATGACCGTACCTGACGCAAATCCGTCGACAAAATAGTTCGAAGGAGAGTCGAACAACAAATCTCCATGAACGTCAATTTTCGGAGGTCCACGTGGATGTCTTGAATCTGCGCTGGGTCCCCCTGGCGGTGCCTCCAGCGCCGCCACTGGCGCGCTGCGCGCGAGGGGGTCCAGCGACGATCCAAGAAGTCTGCGCGGACCGCAGAAAGCTTATGCGTATGCCGTGTTGTCCTTCCTCTGGAGAGGAGCCCCACGAGTGCGGCCCCCTCCCCAGGGCGCCGTGAAGTGGCTGAGGCGGATGCGGTCCGAGGGCGTCGAGCCGAACGGGACTTCTGACGCGCCGCCTGTCTCTCCTCTTGCCCCCCACGTTTGCCAACCCGCTCGATGACTACCGGGAAGCTGGACACGACACGAGGCGGCCAGCCTTGGGCCAGAGTCGGATGCGCAGGTGGCCGCACGTCCTGCCAGCGCCCGGGCTCTTGCCTGGCCAGGGTCTCCGCCCGTCTGCATGTGTGTCCAGCTCGTGGCTCCCACGTGATCCGCGCGTGAAGCCAGCCGAGTTTCACGCGTCCTGCAAGAGTGACCGCGAAAGGATGCCGTCCAGGAGAGGTGATCCCACGTTGCTTCTGGCAGTGGCGATCCCGTCGAAGGTGCCTGCGGCGAGTCACCGTCGCCCCCCGCCTCTCTGGCACAGCCGATCGTTGGGCCGATGCTTGGCCATCTTGGTGCAGGGCACGAGCTCTCTTGGTTTGTCTGTGGCTTGGGTGGCGGCGGGTTGGGCCAGAGATTCGGGCCCATCCAGCCACCGTGCTGGAGCTGCGGGTGCGATGCGCCGTGGGAGCACGGGAGTACGGCAGCGTCTTGGGACGGGGGCCTCAAAGGGAGAGTCCATTTGGGAGGCTATTTGGCACCTGTGGCCTCCTGACTTCAATCTTTGGCTTCTGGATGCCTCTGCGGGGCCTTCGGGTGGCCAGTTGGGTGGGGAGTCTGGGGTCTAAGCTGGACGGGATGTTTTCAGCGGTCTGGCGGTGGCGTCTTTTTTGAGGGCCATCTAGGGGCCGTTTTAAAAGCCTCTTGGGCCCTCTTTGGCTCCTTGGGGGCGGCCTTGGGGCTATCTTGGGAGCCTCTTTGTCTGTCTGGGGCGCTCTCTAGACCGAACAGGTGAGACTGTTCAGATCAGGCCGAGCCTCTCAGGCTGGCCCCGAGGGCCTCCAAGACGGCCCACGATGCCCTCAAGGCAGCTTCAGGACGGTCAGGCGGAACCATCCCGGGCATGCTCGAAGTCTCAATTCCCAGGAAACCTTCCCCGGCCTCAGGAGGCGCTCAGGAGAGCACAAGGTATCCGCGAGTTGTGCAGCAGCTGTGGGCAGTGTTATTAGAAGGATGCCAGCATCATTGTATTCATGTTCTCCTTTATCCTGGAAACGTGCACGATGCATCTTGTGCATGCTGAGAGAAAGAGGGAGAGGCAGGAGGAGGTCGAGGTCGCCCCTCCTGTCAGGGCCGAGGTTTGGCGTGTTATATGTATATATATATAGAGAGAGAGAGAGAGAGAGAGAGAAAGAGAGAGAGAGAGAGAGTCAAGCTGATGACAGGGCCTGCGGCGCCGAGCAACGTCCCAGGAGCAGGAGCAGTAGCGTCCGTTGCCGTGCTGCTCAAAAACCGGCAGGAGGCACGTGTCATGTCGCTATGCTTCATACTTCGTCTGTGCTCCGACTCTTCTTATATTATCTACGCAGGCACCCTGGTGGGGTGGCGGTTCAGTGTCCGCAAGTATGTCGAAAACGGTAGGTTCGTATCGTGTAACGCCGCCAGTGGCCCAGAATTATTCAACATGGAACGATCTGGCGATCGAAAAGCCGCCGATCGTTCAAGGTGGAAGGATCAACGCGGTGTCCCAAGCCCAACGCCGAAGTTGTCACGACATGAATTTGCCATGCAATGATGCCGTATTCGCCGCACTCGCAATTCACGTCGCTACCCAGCGAGGTTGCAGCCGAAGCCCGGGATGCCCAGCACCGCTCAGGTCCGCCGCGGGGCCCACTGACAGCGCGGCCTGGAAGTACATCCGCGGGCTGCCACATCAAGCCCCACTTCGTATTCTTCTCGAAGATGACCGCGCTTCCGCTCGGTGGACGCTGGGCCAGGCTTCTGCGTGTGCTACGCCACGTTTTGGCCCGTTGCTGCCCGATGCCGCCCGTCGCCACCACAGAGTTTACACCGCAAGATTCCCAAAACAGTGCTTGCACTCAGGGTGTCCGGCTTGTCTGTCAGAGGATTTGGGTGGGTTCGTCGAGCGTTCGCCCCGTTCTGGCCCCTGCCGCCCGCTGCCCCTTGCGTGGGTGCGTCACGGATTCGCCACATTGCCGCCCGTTGCCGCTTTGGTGGGTGCGTCGAGGGTTCGCCGCGCTCCGGCCCGTTGCCGCGCGTCGCCGCCCAGTGCCGGTTGTGTGCGGGCGTCGAGGATCCGCCACGTTCCCGCCCGTTGCCAGCCCGATGCCGCCCGTTGCCGCCAGTTGCCGCTCCAGTGGCAGCGTCGAGGATGCGCCACGTTCGGGCCTGGTGCCCCCCGTTGCCGAACGGGTGGCAGACTCGAGGAGTCGTAACGTTCCCACCCGATGTTGTCCGTTGACGTTTGGGTGGTTGAGTCGCCAGGGTGCCATGTCGTTCGCGGGCGAGCGACCACATTTTCTCTCACATAGCTTGCTGCATCACGTAGCTTCCACTACATGGTTTCCACCACATAGCCTCCACCACAAAGGTTCCACCACATAGCTTCCACCACCAGGGTGCAACAACTCACTGTTTGAAGGCCACGCTGGCAAACATCTACCCCTATCCCCCTATCGAAACCTTCTAGCGAAACGCGATGCGGGAATCATCCGCCCTCCCCCAGCCGCAAGGCTGGTGGATGGTGCATCGGTCCGATCCCAGCTCGATAAACCAAGACGTGTTTTGTAGAGGTGGGAGGTGGTCGAGGGCGCCAGTCTGTGTGACACAAGCGCATGCGCCTCCTAGGCTCACACGACCAGCAGCAGCGGGGGGGCAGGCAGGAGGTGCGGAAACAACAATCTACCGATACCGCTACGCCCCCCCCTTGTCCCGAGGCACGTTCCGACCAGGATTCCGAAACGAAGCTGACCATGGCGAAGGGGGGGCCCCAGGAGGCCCCAAAAGGCGATGACGAGGGAGGGGGGCGGCATCGGTATTGGCACGTGGTTCTTTGAGAAGTTGTAGCCAGCATGTCTCAGGAGCGACTGAAAAACGTAACATTGACTGTGATGGGTTTCGGGAGTATATGTGCGTTGCACGGACGTTCGTAGCACGAGGCTGGCCTCACGGACATGGGGGTCGTCTTCATGCCCGTGCCTGGGCGCGTACGTCTCTTGTGAGCTCCCTCCCCCCTCCCGCACCTCCCACTCGATATTTTCGAGCCTCGGGGCCCTGGGCCTCTTTCGACGCTATCCTTTGGACCAGCTCTTCATCCTGGGCAGCTCCTGACCGCCGCCGCAAGGATTCAGGCATGCGCAGAGGGGGGATAGGAGGAGGGGGGAAGGCCTCTTGGAAGCACCCCAGCCTCTCAGAAGGCGCGGGCCTTGTCTGCAGATGTAGGGCGGGCGCATTCTAAGGAGTGGCCTCCTCCTAAGAAGCCTTCCCCTCTCCCCCTAAGCCTAGGACTGGTCCAATAATGCGCACAAGACGCGCAACACTCGTTGTTCTCCTGGGGAGCACTTCGCCCCCGGGCCACGTTTCTGGGCCCCCCAATCGTCGTTCTGGGCAGAGTGCTTCGTCTTGGACAAACAGGACGAAACCACAAACAACTCCCCCATACCCCGGAGCTTTTGAGCGGACCCGGGCCGTCGCCGCCGTCGCCGCCGCCGTCGCCGCCGCCGCCGCCGCCGCAGCCCTCGCGGCCCTTGCCGTGGAGCGCGCCGCCACAGAATCACGTACAACGCCGTGCTGCACGCCGTCGCCGTCGCCGCCGTCGCCGCCGCCGTCGCCGCCGCCGCCGCCGCCGCAGCCCTCGCCGCCCTTGCCGTGGAGCGCGCCGCCAGAGGATCACGTACAACGCCGTGCTGCACGCCTTCGCCTGCGCCGGCCGGCCGGACGAGGCCCGGCGCTGGCGGGAGAGCGCGGAGGCCCGCGCCCCGCCCGGGCCGCCGCCGCCGCGCCTCGGCGGCCGCCGCGTGCCGCGGCGTCGACCGCGGGAGGTCGCTGTGGGGCCAGCAGCGGCCACGCGCAGAGGCTCAAGCAGTGGCGAAGCGTCCTGGCTCGCCTATATATAGCCCCACCAAACAAGGTTCTAAGAACCTTGTGTGATCTGCACGACATGTTCTTGGAACATTTCTGGCTGGGACTGTCTTGTTCTAACACATCGAGCTTATGTTCGAAGAACATGGTTTTTGCTCTTAGAATATTTTTGGGTTCTAAGAACATATCGTGGTAGGACTATAGGAATGCCGGGACGGTCGGTCCCTGCTCAAAAGGGGGGCAGGGGGAGCCCATGGGCCTCCCAGACGTCAAGGGAGGAGAAGCCACCAGGACCCGATATGGGCGTTTGCTGAGCGGCCCTGGGCGTTTAGGAAACAGCCCTGCCCTGTTCGATTGCTTCTTCGGGCGCATTTACTGAAAAGGCTTCGCGTGTCGGCCTGATTATTATGAAAGTGGATTTTCTGCTCTCTGAGATGGGGTCCGAGTAGATGGGGTCGGAGGATCGCGCCGCATCGCCGATGCATCGACGATGCGGCTCGATGTGGAGCCCGTGTTTCGCCACGCCGACGTCGCCGATGCATCGCCGACGTCGCCGATGCATCGCCGATACGTCGGCGATGCGTTGGCGACGCGGCGCGATCCTGCGACTCCGTATTTTTCGGATCCCAGATAGGAGGCCTCTTGGGAGAGGGGAAGGCATGTCAGAAGCACCCCTGTTTCTTGGAAGGCGTGGGCCTTCTCTAGATATGTAAAAGGCCTCCCTCTAAGGGGCCTTCCCCCCTCTCCCACACCCCCCGTCTGCGCGCCGCCAGGCTGGGCCAGAATCGGCCACGCGCAAGGGGGAGGAGGAGGAGGAGGAGGAGGAGGAGGAGGAGGAGGAGGAGGAGGAGGAGGAGGAGGAGGAGGTGCAGTCAACCCGCATATGACCGATTTCCCAAGGGTGCCCTTGCATCCTGGCCTCTTCGGCCATCTTCGGTCCATCCATCAACCACTTCCAACGGCCAGCCCCGCTCGAAGAGCCTCGGCGTGGGCGCCCAAGGCCCTTACGCCCTTACCGCGCATCCTTGCTGTACGGGTTGGCTGTGGGGGGAGAAGGCTTCTGAGGAGGACGAGGCCGTTTCTTAGAAGGCGCAGGCCTTATCTATAGATGTGAGGCCGGCGCCTTCTGAGAAGCATCCTCCTTCCAAGAGGCCTGCCCCCGTGGGGAAGGTTTGTGAGAAGGAGGCTGATTCTTAGAAGGCGCGGGCCTTGTCTATAGATTGAGGCTGGCGCCTCTGAGAAGCAACCTGCTTCCAAGAGGCCTTCCCCCCACCCCATACCCCCTTATGCGCGCCGCCAACAGAGGGGGAGCACAGGGGCAGTGCTAGAGGGGGATATGATCAGGGCTCCAGAGTCGAATACAAAGCGCTAGTGCCAGGGGGGGATTGCATAAGGAGTTCCAGCGCTAGGGGCTCCAGCGCTAGGGGGGATGAGGATCAGGATCAGGGCTCCAGCGCTAGGAGGATTGCAAAAGCATAAACTTTCGGAACTCCGCGTGGATTTCTTGGATCGGCGCTGGGCCCCCCTGGCGGCGCCTTCGGCGCCGCCCCTGGCACGCTCCGCGCGCCAGAGAAGGGGGCCCCACGCAGATCCAAGCAATCCGCGCGGACGTCCGAAAATGATCTTTACGCCCGTGTTTAATGTTTTATCTCTACCTAGGCTCTGCCTAGAAGGGTTCTTACTCTCTTGGCTTAAAGGGCCGGGCAGTGGGAACCGGCCCGGGCGGTTCCCCCAGTATCCGCGCCCGCCCCCGCTGTCTACGGCGTTGGCTCTTCCTCTCCTGCCCGCCCCCCCCCGTCCACCTCCCTCTCCGCGCGGAGCGCCAAAAGCTTCTGTCTACGGCGTTGGCTCTTCCTCTCCTGCACCCCCCCGTCCACCTCCCTCTCCGCGCGGAGCGCCAAAACCTTCTGTCTACGGCGTTGGCTCTTCCTCTCCTGCACCCCCTCCCCGTCCACCTCCCTCTCCGCGCGGAGCGCCAAAAGCTTCTGTCTACGGCGTTGGCTCTTCCTCTCCTGCACCCCCCCGTCCACCTCCCTCTCCGCGCGGAGCGCCAAAACCTTCTGTCTACGGCGTTGGCTCTTCCTCTCCTGCACCCCCTCCCCGTCCACCTCCCTCTCCGCGCGGAGCGCCAAAAGCTTCTGTCTACGGCGTTGGCTCTTCCTCTCTGCACCCCCCCCCCGGTCCCCCTCCCGCTCCACCCTTCCTCTGCACAGGAGGGGCGCCCGAGGCGCCCGCGAGAGGGCCCGCAAGAGGCCCCGGGGGCCCCCCCCCCGGAGGCTCCGCCGGGCGATGGGGGTCCTGCGCCCCTCTCGGGAGGGAAAGAATCACACAGACACAACTTAATCGTCGATTCCTCAGAAAATATGGGGAAATCTGGGAAATATGGGGGGGAAGACGAAGACCCCCAAAATATGGGAAACTATGGGGGAATAGTTTTACTTGTGTGTATTTCTTTGTGTGTCCTTGGGCCCCCTGCACCCTCTCCCTCCACACTCCTTGTGCGGAAGGCGCCTACGCACCACCATCATGCCTGGCCAGGGCCAACCTGGGCCCAAGCACAGCGTAAACGCCCTCCTGGCCAGTGTTAGGAGGGTCTGTGCGCCATCTTGGTGTGCAGGGATGGCGCTGGCCAGAGGCTTGGTGGGCGTGCAGGCGCCATCTCCCCCCACAATTCAAGCGAGACGAGAAACAGGGACCGCCCGCCGCCACCGAGGACCTATCGGGGGGGCCCACACCCCTGGGCGGCGGCACGCCCGTTCGTCGAACGGTGCTGGGTACGTTCGGGCGTGCCGCCGCCCAAGGGTCGCCCCCCCCCCCCCCCCCCCATGGGTGGGTCTTCGGAAGCGGTGATCCCCGCCTTTCTCCTCCGAGCGCACAGTCGCGTTGGATTAGTTGGCCGACCCTACCAATTCAAGGGTACCCTTGTGTCCTGTCTCTCCCCTCGGGAGAGCCTCGCGTCGTCCTCTCCACGCAAACTCGACTGTACTGGAACAGACTCGACGCTGCTCGATGGCCCGAGCCGCGCCAGCGCAGCTCGCACGGGCTCTGCACCCTCGGGGCGACGAGGGCGCCCGCCGCGCCACCGCGCGCCGCCGCGCCGTCGCGGGGGCACCATGCTGCCCGCCGCGCCCGCCGCGCGCCGCGCGGCGGCGCCGGCAGCGCCCCCGCGCCGCGGCGCGGGCGGCCCGCCGCGCCCGCCGCCGTGCGCGGCGCCCGCGCGCAGCGGGGGCGGGCCGTGGCGGAGCGCCGCGGCGGGCCGCCTCGGCGCCGCGGGCGGGCCCGGCGGCCGCCGACGGCCGCAGGGGGCCCCGGCGCGCAGGGCGGCCGCGGGCGGGGCCGCGGGCGGGGCCGCGGGCGGCGCCGAGCCCGAGAGGCGGGCCGCGCTGGCGGCGGCGGCCGCCGCCGCCGCCGCGGCCGTCGCCGCGGACAGCGGCCTGCGTGCGGGGGGGCGCTACGCGCCAAGCGGGCCGGTGGTGTGGCCGCCGAGGCTGTCCAAGGAGACGCTGCGCGAGGAGCTCCGAGGAGGCAAAAGGTGTCGTTGCTGCCACCCGTGCCTCGTTCTCGCCCTCCTCGGGCCTCAGGGGAGGCTCTCTCCTCGCCACGGCCGGGCTCGCCTCGAGATTTTATGGTCGGAGCGCGCCCCAGGAGTGGTCCGCGGAGGAGCAGCGGCATCGATGCCCCTTCGTTCCCCCAGGAGCTGGTCCCGGGGGCCATCTGGGGTCTGGAGCAGGTGTCGAAGAACAAAAGCATCATCAATAGAATCTTTTGGCGCTGCGCGCGGATTTCTTGGATCTGCGCTGGACCCCCCTCCCTGGCATGCCGAGCGCGTCAGGGGCGGCGCCGGAGGCGCTGCCGGGGGGACCCAGCGCGGATCCAAGAAATCCACGCGTAGCGCCAACCAATTAATGTTTATGGCGTTTTTCTTCTTCTTCTAAGGTGATCGCGTTCTTCACGGTCTCCGCCAACGTCCGCATGACGGTGGTGCGCTTGCGCGACGGGGGCCTCTGGGTCTTCAGGAGGGGAAAACACACACAGACGCAGACACAGTTCAGCGTCGACCCCCAGGAGAATGCAGGATGATATGGGAAGCGGGGCGAAAGACGAAAACCCAGAACATATTTTGAAAGCATGAGGAGTCCTGGGATTCGTATCTATTTCGTGCGGGCCCCTTAAGGTCTGCTCGCCTGTCTCGCCCACGGGCCAGTGCCTGCGGCTGCTCCGTGAGCTGGGGCGCGTGGCACACCTCGTGGCGCCGGGGACGGCGCTGGAGCACAAGGCCTCCCCTGCGGACTCCTCGGAGGGGCAAATGTTTCACCACCACTACCAGATGTAGGACGGGGGAGAAGGGAGGATGAGGATGTCCTCCTCCTCCCTTTCCTCCTCCTCCTCCTCCTCCTCCTCCTCCTCCTCCTCCTCCTCCTCCTCTCTCCTACCTGTGGTAGTGGTGGGCTGAAGTCGGGCACGTCCCTCTACAGGAGGAATATTCAGAAATAGTCCAGAAATAGTCTGGAGACGATGTTTCGACTACGTTTGAACTATTCTGGGGGTATTGTTTGGCTATGTTCTACTGTTCCTCCAAAATCTGCCCTGCAGGAGGACATGCCCGACCTAACGCAAGGCCTCCTTGGCGGACTTCTCGCGCGAGTTCCCGGAGGCCACGGTCTGGGTCTCGCCCGGCCAGGGCGCCAGCCCGCTCGACCCGCCGCTGGGCCGCGTGGACGGCGTGCTCGGCCAGGGGAGCGAGCCTCCCTGGAAGTCAGAGATCGACTACAGGTTGGCGACCACAAAAAGGGTGTGGCTACGACTACAAAAAGGGTGTGATTACGACAGGTTCTGGTTACGAACGCAAAAAGGGTGTGGTTACGACCACAAAAAGGGTGTGGTTACGACCACAAAAAGGGTGTGGTTACGACCACAAAAAGGGTGTGGTTACGACCACAAAAAGGGTGTGGTTACGACAGGTTCTGGTTACGAACACAAAACGGGTGTGGTTACGACCACAAAAAGGGTGTGGTTACGACCACAAAAAGGGTGTGGTTACGACAGGTTCTGGTTACGAGCACAAAGAGGGTGTGGTTACGACCACAAAAGGGTGTGGTTACGACCACAAAAAAAGGTGTGGTTACGACAGGTTCTGGTTACGACCACAAAGAGGGTGTGGTTACGACCACAAAAAGGTTGGCGACCACAGAAAGGGTGTGGTTACGACAGGTTCTGGTCGTGTCGACCAGCGGCGACTCCGCCGCCAGCGTTCAACGTTGAACGCCGCCAGCGACTCGGAATTGGTCGATGGTGACCGATCTGACGTTGCGGAAGCGGCCGATCGTTCAAGATTGAACGAGCCCCCAGGTGTCAGGAACCACCGCCAGGGTCAGCAAGGCACGAACCTACCGCCGGTGGGGTTGTGCGATCTGACTCGCCTTCGGGGGGCCCAAAGCGGTGTGGTTACCACACCGCGTGGTGAGCCAGTGGGGATTCGGGGTCACCGCTCGGCTTGCACGGTTCCCCTGGGGCCGTAGGCGACCCGAGGAGAAGGAGGAGGATGAGGAGGAGGAGGAGGAGGAGGAGGTGGAGGACGGGGAGGGGGAGGAGGAGGAAGGAGGAGGAGGAAGAGTTGGGAGGAGGGGAAGAGGGGAGGAGGAGGGAGGAGAGGAGAGGAGGAGGAGGATGGAGGAGGGAGAGGGAGGAGGGAGGAGGGAGGAGGGAGGAGGAGGAGAGGAGGGAGGAGGGGGGAGGGAGGGAGGGGAGGAGGAGGAGGAGGAGGAGGAGGAGGAGGAGGAGGAGGAGAAGTAGGAGGAGGAGGAGGAGAAGGAGGAGGAGGAGGAGGAGGAGGAGGAGCAGGAGGCGGTGGACGGGTCGCCTAAGCCCTTCGGAGAAACCCTCCAGCGCGGCTCGGGTCGTTCTCACGACTGGGGCCCCCGGGGTCTCGAAGCCGTGTTTCGACGGACCGCGCGGTGAAGTCGTTGGGGATTCCGAGGTCACCACGCGGTCTGTCACCACGCGGTTCTGGGACCTTCCAGTTGGGGCGTGGGGGGGAGCACCACGTTGTCTTCGTCGGACCTCGGAGCTCGGTCGGGAAGCTTGTCGAGGCCCTCGCCCGCCCCCCAGGGTGCGGGTTGCAGACCGCACCCTTTGCACACCACATCTTTCGGAGTCGCCGAACAGGGTTTTCTACGTGGCGCCTCCGGAGACGGCCGGGACCTACGCGGAGACGGCCTTCTTCCACGCCCAGAGCAGGACACTGCTTCTCACGGACGCCGTGCTGAGTGTCCCTATCAGCCCGCCTGACGTCCTCTCGTCCTACGGATTCGAGGGGGAGCCCAGCGGATTGACCCCAGAGCAGTGGTACTACAAGTTCATCGCCTTCAATTTTCTGGCGATGCGCGGCTCGGACGAGGCGGACTTCAGGGCCCTCAGCAGGCCCAAGGGCATCGTCAGCCCTATCCTGCGGTTCACGCTCTACCCAGTCTGCCAGCGACAGGCAGCGGCATGGGTCGAGGACGTGGCCCGCTGGCCGTTCGAGCGCGCGGTGGCTGCCCACCTGCGGTCCCCGTTCGAGCTGGCGCCGGCGGACTTCCTGCGGGCGTTCGGGTTCCTCTTCGGCCGGGAGATCTGGGCCTCTTAGATGGGTCGGAGTAGATGGGGTCGGAGGATCGCGCCGCATCGCCGATGCATCGCTGCTGCGGCTCGATGTGGAGCCCGATTTGTTTCACGTCGATGGCGCCGATGCATCGCCCACGTCGACGATGCATCGACGATGCCGCCAATGCATCGCCGATGCATCGGCGATGTATCGGCGATGCGGCGCGATCCTCCGACCCCATGTACTCCAACCCCATCTGGGAGGCCTCTAGGAGAGCAGATGACAAAAAACGCATCAATACCGCTGCCCTCGCCCCGTTCTCGCTTCTGTTGGGCCACTTGGGGGAGCCTCGCCGCCACCGCTGGATTCGCCTCCAGGTTCTGCGCAGAACGCATCGTAGGAGAGGTCCTGGGAGTAGTGTCGGCATCACCCACACATACTCATACCATATGTGCATCGCCCCCCCATAGTCGACGCTCGCGCTCAGAAATTTAGTAAGTTACATGCTCAGTGGCGGGCGCTTCCTGGCCATACTATAAGATGCTTATCATACATGTTCGCCTCGGGCGTGCGCCTGGTACCTGTATGTCTTTCTGTGTCCCATGGCTGGGGGGGGCGACCACCAATCGCCCACTGATCGCCGACAAGGGGCTTGACGACCAGCCCCGCCCCAGGAAGCGTGGCCTCGCTCTCGGGGGCTGGTCGCCGATCTGTCGGCGATGCATCGCCGATTCCAGCTCGATGTTTCCCAGCCTGAGCCAGTCCCCCCCTAACGCTGCCCCTCAGTAGCAGTGTCGATGCCTTCGGGCGACGCGCGCGCTCAGAACGCTCATAGTACGCACGTGTAACGATGCACAATCGAGTTGCCTGCGGCAAGTTGCGCCCACGTACCAGCCCGGCATTGTGGGTGGCGACTGTTCGAGGGGGTACGGGGTTGGCCGTCATGTTTGACACCTCGCGTCTCTGGGCCTGAGGGAGCCATGATGAGGATGATGAGGGTTATGACGATGTTGGGGGTGATGATGATCAGGAGGGGGAGACGGAGCAGGATGAGGATGAGGAAGAGGGTGAGGATGAGGGGGAGGATGAGGATGAGGGTGAAGATGAGGGTCATGATGAGTATGAGGAGGATAATGATGATGGTGATGTTGAGATGATGATATGATGAGATGATGATGGGATGATGATGAGTATAAAGGGGGATGATGATGGTGGTGATGATGCTGATGGTGATGCTGATGATGATAAGGTTGATGCTGATGCTGGTGATGATGGTGTGGAGGAGGATGACGTCCACGACGACGACGTCGATGATGATGCTGATGCTGATGGTGATGGTGATGATGATGAAAATGATGAACATGGTGGTGATGGTAACGATGATGGTGGTGATGATGGTGATGATTCTGATCATGCTTATTCTAACCATGGTGATGCTTGTGATGGTGATGATGGTGATGACGACAGTGATGATGGTGATGATGACGACGATGATGACGACTATGGTGGTGATGATGATGATGATGTTGCCGATGATGCTGATGATGATGACGCCGTCGACGACGACGATGATGATGATGATGCTGGCGATGATGCTGCCGGTGATGATGATGATGCTGATCATGATGATGATACTGATGGTGGTGGTGATGATTGTGATGGCGATGATTATGGTGATGGCGATGAAGATTGATGATGATGGCGACCATAATGACGATGATAATGATGATGATGACAATGATGATGATGATGATGATGATGATGATGATGATGATGATGATGATGATGATGATGGTGCTGATGATGCTGATGGTGATGCTGATGCTGATGCTGATGATGATGATGCTTATGATGATGATGGTGACGATGGTGAAGGCGACGGCGACGACGACGACGACGATGACGGTGACGTTGATTACGATGTTGATGCTGATGCTGATGTTGATGTTGCTGTTGCTGCTGGTGGTGATGATGATGATGCTGATACTGATGGTGATGCTGATGATGATGCTGATGCTGATGCTGATGCTGCTGCTGATGATGATGATGATGATGATGATGATGATGATGATGATGATGATGATGATGATGATGATGATGATGATGATGATGATGATGATGATGATGATGAGACTCGTTTGGGCCGTCTTGGGGCTATCTTAGTCTCCTGTTTGGGGCCCTCTTACGCCGGCTTTGGGCTCTTGGGCCGTCTAAGGGCCCTCGTGGCCGTATGGTGGGTGTTTGGGGGCCGTCGTGGGGCCGTTTTGGCGCCGTCGTGGGCATTCGATGGGCTGATGGGCTTTCTAAGGCCGTCTTGTGTCCCACGGGAGGCCCTCTTGGGCCGTCTTGGGGCCGTCTTAGATGCCTCTTGGGCAATCATGGAGTCCTCTTGGGACGCCTTGAGCTGACGGCAGCCTGCAAGGGTGAGAATGCGAAAATCATTCAAAAACCGAAGACAACTATGATTATGGCTTCTTCGGACTCTGCGGGAGGTCCTCTTATAGCCCTTTTGGGCCCTTTGGTATGCATCTTGGGCAGCCTTGAATCCATATTCAGCCGCCATGGGGTCATCTTGGGCCGTCTTCGAGGCGTCTTGGGCCATCTTGGTGTCCTTGGTTGCCTGCACGGGCCGTCTTGGAAGCTCGGGACGCATATCCATCGTTTTTAAACAAGGGATCGTAGCTTGGGAGGTCGTGTAGCGATTGGGAGAAGCGCCTGGAAGTGCGGTAAGTGCACCATCCTCGAGCGGGTGCGCGTGGGATGAGAGGTGAAGGATTTAGCGGCCATCTGGGAAGTGTACAATCCTCGAGCGGGCGCGCATGGAATGATGGTTCAGGCATTGGCCGTCATGCGGGAAGTGCATCATCCTCGAGCGGGCACGCGTGAATTAGGGTTTAAGCGTTACCTGCCATTCTGGAGTTGCACCATCCTTGAGCGGGCACGAGGGAAGTGGCCTCGGAAAGGAGGGGTGGAGCATGCAGCAGTCTGCGAGTAGGGAGGGGGAGGAACCCTCCTCAGGTTTCAAAAAACCCTACAAGACAGTCCTCTGCATTCTCCCACGCCTCAACATGCCAAGGGACACGCTGGCGGATAAGATGGTTGTACTATATGTTCGGCTGCGTTCGGTTTGCGCGTACGCTTCCAAGGGGGCGCGTAGTACTAGTATGTCCATCTGCGTCCCATAGCGGTGTCGATGCTTCCTGGCTTCCCCAGGAGAGCTCCTGGGAGCCGGAGCCCGCACAGCTCGCGCAGCTGCTGTCCGCGGCCCGGCAGCTGGATGGGCCAGAGGCCTTAAGCAGCAGCATCTGGGCGCGGTTCGTAGCGGACGCGCCCTCGGGGTAAAAAAGATCTGGGAGGACCCAGACCCCCTCGCGTCGTGCAACAAAAACAAGTCGGACGATTTTTGTTTGCTTTGCAATGTTCGGCCTCTGGGGGCCTGGGACCGACAACAGGTAACTCAGGAGGAACAGCGGGTCCTTGGGAATTGGTCGAGACGTCTGGGGGTCCGCGTTGTGAAAAAACGCGACGTCGGGGGTCTGGGAAGCGTTTGGGGGGCCCGCCCGGACAGCTGAAGCGGATGTCTCGGCACGTCGCAGGTGGGAGGAGGAGCACATGTGATGGGCCGATGTTCTCCTCCTCCTCCTCCACCTCATCCTCCTCGTCCTCGTCCTCGTCCTCCTTCTCCTCCTCCTCCTCCTCCTCCTCCTCCTCCTCCTCCTCCTCCTCCTACCTGTGGCAGTGGTGATGGAAAATCGGCCCATCAAGATGGAGGAGGAGGGGGGGGGAAGGGCAGGAGGAGGAGGGGGAGGCTTCTGGGCAGCAGCGGGGAGGCGACCGATAGCTCTGTGTTGGGCGACGTTCTGCCAAGACGCCGCCTGCCTCGCAAGCAGATGACCCGCCGCTCGACGTCAGATTACCCGCCAGATCTGATGGGAGCAGGCGGAGGGGGGAGGGAGGTCAGAGGAGGAAGAGGTACCCATACCGCTACCCTTCCCTCGTTTTCCCCTTTTTGAGCCTCCTGGGAGGCCCTCGTCGCCGCCGCTGGATTCGCTCGAAATTCCGGTCAGAACGCTCCCCAGGAGAGGTCCAGGGAGTAGCGGTATTTGTACTTTTTGGTTTCCAACGGCGGAGGGGGATGGAGGGGGATCCAGGCCGCCTAATTGGGGTCCAAGAAGATGGCGTCGGCACACCAAAAATCTATGGACGTCCCAGGGTCTCAGAGTTGGGTTTCTTGTGGAAGGTTTCTTGCGGAAGGTTTCTTGTGGAAACGTCCTGATCTGCGCCGCACCCCGCCAGTTTTTCGCCACTGCCCGTCTACTGCGCGCCGACAGTCGGATACTGACCCTCAGAGCTCTCGCCGGACAGCGGGCTCGTCCCCGTTTGGGGAGTGCGAAGTTTCCCGTCTCACGCCCTGGTGCAAGTGAAGCCTCCTGCCACGATGGTGTTTGGAGCCCCTTTCGGGCGCCTGTCGTCTCTTCGGGGGGCACGACAGGAACCTCGCGCCCCATGGGAGGATCGCTTGGAATAGAGGCCGAAGACTGGTATCCTCTGTACAGTCGGGGCGCTGAAGAAGGAACCCTTTTCGTTGGGGAGGGGCTCCGTGTTCCTTGATTGCTTCACAGTTTGCCGTGGGTTGTCCTTAGGTTTTCCATGGGAAATCGAACCTTCACTGATGGGAAAAAGGGGCCTCGTTCCTTACTTAGGGTTCCTGAGGTCAACGCCCCGACTGCATGCATCGGCTCTCGGTGCTGCGCGCGGAGCTCTCGGATCGGCGCGGGTCCCCCAGGCGGCGCCCCTGGGGCTCCAGCGCTGGCCCCAGGAAGCCGCGGGAGGCGGTCGGACGTTCATGCTCATGCCGATATGTTTTCTTCTTCGTCTTCTTCTTATTAGTATTGTTATGTTTATTAGTATCATCCTTATTATTATTGTTTGTATTAGTATTATCATTCGGATTTTGATTATTATTATTATCATCATCATTATTATTTTGTAGTATTGCTGTTATTATTATTAGTATTATTATTATCATTATCATTATCGTTATTATTATTATTATTAGTATTATTATTATTATCATTAGTATTCGCATTATTTTATTATTATTATTACTATTATTATTACTATTATCACAATTGTTCTCATTATTAGTATGATTATACTTCTGGGGCCCTCCTCTCAGAGAAGGAAAAGGTACCCATACCGCTACCCTTCCCTCGTCTTCCCCATTTTCGGGCCTCCTGGGAGGCTCGTCGCCACCGCTGGATTCGCCTCGAAATTCTGGTCAGAACGCACCTGAGGAGAGGTCCGGGGAGTAGCGGTATCGGTACCTTTTTGGTCTCCCCATCCTCGGCCATCTTGCGGCCATCGTAAGGCCTGAGGACAATCGGAAGCCATCAGTGGAGCAGGGCGAGCATGCTTGAGAGCGCAATTGCCCTGTGACGGTTCCGGCGCAGACCCGAGGAATGCGCGCGGGCGGTCGAGCGTTTGTGTGTGTTATTCTGCGTTTGGTAACAAGCCGTGGGGGGGGGCGCCGCCCGCGGGCAAGCACGGCTGCGCGATGTCGGCCCCAGTCGGCCCACGCCACCCGCCGCAGGAAACCAGACCCTCGGCCCACGGGTGCGGACAGGCTGACGTTGGCCCCCGTCGGGGGGGGACGCCGACGCCCCCCACGCTCACTGCCATGCGCAGTCTTCGTCGGGGGGCCCCCCCCGCGCTCATTATCAAACCATGCTTGCGTCGCAGGGGGACCGTACCCTGGTGCTCTTCGTGCTTGTGGGGTACTCTTGTGCATCCTGGGGAGGGTGCCCTTGGATGCTCTGGCTGTTCTGGCCGACGGAGGGTTTTCGTGTTCTTGGAGAATGCTCTTCTGGCTTAGGTCCTCTTCGAAATCAAACGCAAGTTTCTCCCGCGACGTGGCGGCACCCCACCACCCCAAACTTTCGATAGTCTTGCCGAAACTGGCGACTGTAAACACAAAATTCTGACCCCGCGGGCCGCGTTCCGCGCGTCGATCAGAATTGGCGACTTGCGTTTGAGTTCGAGGTGGGTTGTGGGTCCGACCGCATGCAGTCGCCTCTTCTTCCAGCCCCGCTCTTGCTGCCGCGCCTCGCCCTCCGGCGACGCCCCCTCGCGCGCCTGCAGGCGGGCGGCGCCGACGCCGTCCACGCCTGGACCTCGCTCATCCTGGCCCTGAGCAACACGGAGACGCGCTGCAGCCGCCGCGCACTCCTCCTCCTCCTCCTCCTCCTCCTCCTCCTCCTCCTCCTCCTCCTCCTCCTCCTCCTCCTCCTCCTCCTCCTCCTCCTCCTCCTCCTCCTCTTCCTCCTGAAACAATTGTGGCGCCGGTCCATTTTGGCGAGCCCCACTTCAGTGCCTGCACGAGGTGCTTGAAGCACTGCGCTCAGGCTGCACCGTCGGAGGCGGCTGCTAGCGTAGACTAAAGCAGAAGTGTCACACAGTGATTGCGTGCCGTCCTTGGAGTAGGTTCGGAGGCTGTGGCACCAGCGAATGCAATGATTGTTGACGGTTTCTCGGGACAGGCGCTGTTGGAAATGCAACAGGCAGGCGAAGATCTACAAGTCCAAGGGCGGCAAGGCGGCGGCAGCGGGCCCTCAGTTGACAGGCGCCTTGACAGCTAGCCCCACAGTGGAGAGCCTTTTTGTCTGAGGCCGGCAAGCTGTCGAACGACCCAGTGTTGAAGGCGTTGCTAGACAGCCAGGTCGTGAAGGCAGCGGCCCCCGCAGAGGCAGTGACGCCCAAGGTCTCCCTCGCGGAGGCGGTGCGGAAAGCTGAGGGATCTTGGCATGGGGCCAAGGCACGGTAAGAGCAAACCGTTGTGCAAGCGACGCGCTGCAAGGATAACCTAGAGAGGGCGCAGCAGAAGGAGTCGGAGGCGCTCAAGGGGCTGGCGGTGGCGGAGCTCTCCAGGATGACGGCGGCCCAGGCGCTGGCCAGCGACGCTGGCACCGCGGTGGCCGCGAACCTGGACGAGCAGGCCAAGCCAGCTTCCGAGCTCTTGGAACTCACGTGGGACACCAAGTTCTTCGCCTCCCTGGAATCCCTGGAGTGCGAGGCGTCCGAGCGAGAGGAGCCTCGCAAGTTCGAGGCGGACCTGATGACGACCAAGAAGAATCTAGCCGCAAAACTGGCCACGATCGCGAAGTACAAGCAGCAGGTCCATGACATGAGGAAGGCAATCGAAGAGAGGAGGGCCAAGAAGCGGAAGACGGCGCAGAAAGGTCTCCAGTGGGTCCAGCGGCGGTTCCCTGCCTAGTGGCGCCACCGCACCTGCGACAGCGCCCGCGGCGGCCGCGCCGACCAAGGGGGACAACGGAGACGTCAAACATTCGGAGGCCGAGATCCAGCACGAGACGAACTGCATCAAGCAGGAGAAGGAGCTCGGGAAGTCGGCTGGGGAGCAGGCGCAGCCGCCTGCGCCCACAGGACAGTCTGCCTGAGTTGGCGCTCCTTTTGAGGGTTTGCCGGCGCCCTTAGCCTCGCACAGGAGCGAGTCGGCGGCCGACGACGTGGGGCACCAGCAGACCTCCGACGTCGGCCAGGACAGCGAGAGTTGCAAGCTGTTCTTCGCCAGCGTGTCGCATTAGGCCAGCGGGCCTGGAAGTGCGCGCCTTAGCGTGGAGGACCGTTCGGAACGCCAGTTCATGGGGCTCGTGGCGACGCACGCGCGGGGGAACGGCGTCACTCATGATGAGTGTGCCCGACGCGCGCAGCAGCTTCACTGGCGGGCTCGCTTGCAGCCGCGCCTCGCTTGCCTCGGCGACCTCGCCCCAGAACGCCGGCCACAGAAGGGTCAAAAGTTAGTCGCGCTAAAGCTGTGTCTCGCGAGAGAGCCGAGCGGGCCCGAGCAATGAACGCGGCCGTCAGTTGCAGTCTTTGGTGTCAGATATCCTCGCGCTCGACAACCGCAGGTCAGCAGCGCGCACTCCAGGTCAGCCGTCGCCGCGCGAAGTGGACGGGGGCAGCCGAGCAGGTGGTGAGCGCGCATCGCGGAGCTGATGCTCCCCGACAGTCACGGGAGCCAGGCTTCTGGCTGGCGGCGGCGCCAGCCAAGCAGGCTGCGCGCGCCCGAGAGGAAGTCTACGCGACAGGGTCGCGTCTCGGAGGTCCAGCCCCCGCGCTGCCTTCGTCAAGATCGCCCGACGTCGCGCCAGACAGAACGGAGCGACTCAGGTCAAGTATTTGGTCGGGGCAGCTTCGAGGCTCGTGGACAGGGCGCCAGAGGGCGCTTCGGCCCTCTGCAGCCCTTGCTGTGTATGTTGGGACAGTATAGTGTTGCGGCGTTACGTGGGCTTGCTGAGTCGGACGTCAGTCGCACCCAGGTCTTGGAGGATTGGGCCGACCCTGGTGTTGAGCAAGCGCCGGCGCGAGCAACGTCGGCACGTGATTTCCAGGAGTGGATTGTTTCGGTTGCTTCGATCGGCAACATCCACAAAGAGCGCAGAGACTCCAGTTCCAGATATTGGTGAGTTGCACGTTGGATCCGATCGCTGGGCGTGCCCAGTGGATGTCATTGACAGGAAAGCTGTCCAGTGGCGGAAGTCATGGAGCTCTCAGTCGCTGCCCTTCGACGTTGCCACGTCGGCGCGCAGTCGCGCCGGGGGCCGGGCTAGAGCGGGGCAACTGGAGCCGCGCGCGATCGATTGTCTGCGCCGAGCCGCGCGGGCCACGATGGCCCGAGCTGGGCTCGGCGCGGACAGGGTGTCTCCAGTGGACTCCGAACGCTTGCCCAACTGTGCGATCGAAGAGTTAGTTTTAGCGCGTTGAAGAGGGCCGCGGCAGATCATGGCCGTCGCGGGTAGATTGCCGGCGAAGAAACCCGGCGGCGACGAGGCCGCGGGACTTCGAGGGGCAGGGCCCGCGAGGGCCAGATGCGCCAGCGGGCCCGCGACGAGGGTCCCGCGCGGGTCGCGGCCGCAGCAGGGCACAACACTTTGAGAGAAGTTTTTGCGAGAGCGCTGCAAATGGAGCTTCGCGTCAAGCTGGATGCCCCTCGGAGGCAAGCGCTTCTTGATATCGGTTCCTTTCGCGATTGCGCAAAGCGGCCAGCCATTGCGCGGCGAGCACTGAGGTTGAGATTTCCGCCATCGAGCCTGTTCTTAGAGCTTCAGGTGCGTCTCTGCCCGCGCATCGCTGCGCAGCGCCGCGCTTGTCATTGCCCCTGTCAGCCGACCCGTTCGGCGGCGCAGGGGCTGAAGGACCGGGCGCGGCTGGTTCGCTGCGCGACCTGCTGGATCTTGCCGTGGCGCGCCCTAAGTTTTCGCAGCGGTCGCGGGTGGACGATCTATCCTCGCGCATTGCAGGCTCTCGGCGCGTTGCGCGAGATGCCGCGGCGAAAGGCATTGTGGACGCGGTTGTTGGCGCGCGCAGGAATGGGTTGGACGTCTCGCCCAGAAGCGCCGTCGCGCGGGCCCGTCGCGTCGACGCCAAGCACGCGGTGAAGCAGTCGTGTAGACGGGGCATTTGCGCGAGGGGGGCGCCGCGGGCGGCGCGCCTCGGCGCGGGCCGGGGCAGCGGCTGCAGGCATGCTCGCCAAATCGCTCGCAAGCGCGCGATCGAGGCAGGAGCTCACGGCGACAATCTCCGCAGGTTTGCGAGGGTGCCCAGCAGGCATTGCAGAGAGCGGGCCCACGCGCCACAGCCGTATGCGGCCATCCAGTGCACGGCTGCTTCAGGGGCGCAATGGAATGCAATCGGCGGCGCTCGGCGGCGACTGCCAGTTCGGCCGAGCGGCCGCGGCTTCCTTTAGCAGATCCCGGTCTGGCACTGCCGCGACAGCGCCTCGCGCAGCAGCTGCAGGTCTGGATTTCGGCGCATCTTTTGCGAGAAGGTACCCAGCGGGCGCAGGCTGCTACCGCGAGGCACTTGGGCAGCTTGCCCGAGACGCCGATCGCGGCGCGTCCGAGGCCCGATCTCCGCGGCAATCGCCCACTTACTTCAGGCGGGTTGGAGGCCCAACTCCGTTGCTGAGTGGGGCACTACGACTGACGACGTCGATGACACGCGCGCGCGACATTCCCCTTTCGCCGCCGCCCCAGGGCGGGGCCAAGTCGCGCCCCTCATGGACGACCTCGGGGCTTCGATCAACCGACTGCTGCGGCGCGAAGCCGCTGCGCATTGCCGCGGAAGGGGGCTCGAAGGCGGAGTGGGCGTGGCCAGCCACTGCCATGTTCTGCGTAGTTTTTTTTTTCTGGATGGCTAAAAAGGTCGACAGTTATCCGAGTGGATGCTGCCCATCGCGGTCGGGGGCGCATGGCATCGGGGGCGGAGGTTTGAAGCCGGCATGGCCGATGCCAGCGAGTGTTCTCGACATCGTGGCGGCGTGGGCTCGGCCCTGCATCGCGCGCGGCTGCGTGGCCTCGACGGCGGAGGCAAAGCCGTCGAGGGCTCCAACTTTTTGGTGCTGCGGGCCATCGCCGAGCAGGGCGTGTTTCCTTGCTTCTGGATGCGCAGCATCATGCCAGCGGCGTGGACTTCGGATCCGGCGCCCGCGGAGAGTCCATCGTGGAGTTCCGACAATATGTCAGACGCGTTGGTGGGCCCATGTCTCGGCCATGGAACGCGCGAGGTTTCGCTCGCCGCCTTCGGAGATGCATCGGGCGGGGCAGACGCGCGCGACCCGCGCCTCATGGGCACCTCGGTCCTCGCGAATTTCTCGCCGCCCGTGCAGGGGCCATCTTCTGGGGCCGCTTCGGGGCACGCAGGCTCGGCGGACAGTGCCCCGCGGAGAGCCGCAGTGTCTTGCGACGGCCATTCGTCGCGCCTGAGGTGCACTGCGACATATATGCGTCGGACAACGACGAAGTTTGTCGAGGTTGGCGGCAGTCCGTGCGCTCGCCGCCTGGGAGCCCTAACGCTGACGTATGGAGGGAGATTGGCGAGCTGTCGCGCATCCAGCGCAGGCCGGCCGCCCGCGCAATCGTTTCCCAGGCTTCCTCGCACCTCAGTCCAGACGAAGCGCTGTCTAGAGGTATTCGGAGTCGGCTGATTCAGGGCAATGAAGTTGTGGATGGCTTCGCCGAACGAGCGGATGCCATAGCCAGGCTCGACGAAGGCCACAGGAGCAGAGTGGTTGCGAGCAGGAGGCCTTGCTGGCGAGGAGGCGCCTCCTCCGAGTTGCCTTGCTCACCTGCCTTTTTCGGGGCCTGGGGGAGCTCTTTGGCCACTTGGGAGCCGTTTTGGAGCGGTC